AGAAGAAGAAGAAGAAGAAGAAGAAGAAGAAGAAGAAGAAGAAGAAGAAGAAGAAGAAGAAGAAGAAGAAGAAGAAGAAGAAGAAGAAGAAGAAGAAGAAGAAGAAGAAGAAGAAGAAGAAGAAGAAGAAGAAGAAGAAGAAGAAGAAGAAGAAGAAGAAGAAGAAGAAGAAGAAGAAGAAGAAGAAGGGTATTGTACAATACCCAAATGAGGCCAAAATTAACCCACAGTAACTTTGAGTTTCTCCTTGTTTTTCCTTTCCTGTGACCCAAATATTGTACCATTACTGTTCTAGCTAATCTATATGCAACTTCAATTCTTTTGCTCCCAAATTCTGAGATCTATTTTTGTGGTGTAGAAGCCTTTTATCTCACCTTGGTTACCATTGGGAGGGTTCTCGGATTCCACGGTGGGATTCACTAAGGCCACCAGGAGAAATACTCTCCAATCCAGGAGAAACATTTCTTGGGTCTTTTCCAGGAGCTGAGAAGCCAAATTCGAAAAGGAAAAAGGGGGTGTCACTAAATTGGGAGTCAGGGATCACAATGCACTGATTAGTAGACTCAAAGTAGGCTCCTGAATGCCCAAGACTATTTAGCACTGCCAAAGGTCTTCTGATGGACCTCAAGATGCCCTCTTTTGACCACAACGGTCTCCAGATGGACTTATTCCACCGCAGAGGCAGAACCATATCAAATCAGGAGAAGTAGTTCTCAACTTACGACCCCAATTGAGCCCAAAACTTCTGACACTAAGCGAGAGTTTTGCCCCATTTCACAGCCTTCCCCGCCACCGTTTTTAAGGATGTTCAGTTAGCAAAACAGTTGTTAAGTGAAATCTGGCTTCCCCGTTGACTTTGCTTGTCAGAAGGTCGCAAAAGGAGAAATCACATCACACACACCTCCCGGGACACCGCAATATGAGCTGGCGGGCTAAGTGTCCGAATTTTGATCACATGACCCTGGGGACGCTGCAACAGTCCTACGTGAGTGAGAACTACTCACAAGTCACTTTTTTCAGCGCCGTTGTAACGTCGGTCACTAAACGAACTACTGCTAAGTTGAGGACTATCTGCGGTAAGCTTCGTGGAGTTAAAAACCAGAGAGAAAACCGAGATGAACCCACTTAAAAAAAGAAACGACGGCCGCTAGGAAACCTGCCTACAGAGTGCAAGCCTTGCTTTGTTCACCTTGGTGCCCTCAGGGAACTCCTTCTCTGCCCATCATCCCTGCCACCAAAAGGTCCTGGGGATGGGCCTCGGTGGGGCTAAAGAATGTGGGAACGGAGCCGAGGATCACGTGAACCTTTTGTGCGATCCTGGGAACCAGCCTGTTTTTAGATCTTCTCCTGCCCGCGTTAGCAGCCCCCGGAGTTGCGTTCCCAAGTGGCTCCGTGGGGATTTCTCCAATACGACTCTGCTGTGTCTAAGTGTCCAGTTTCCCTAACAATGAGCTTAGTTGTGTGTTTGTGGCAGACTTTGCCTTATTCATTTGAGGAGAAGGTTTGAAATTACCAATCTTTCAAAGACAACCACGGGGGGGGGCATTTTTACTTAGAGGCAAAGCTTCGGATTTCAACCTCTGTATTTGCAAAAAAAGCTACTCACAGGTCGTTCATTTAATGGCTGAAGTTATAGCAGCAGTTATAGCAGAAGTGACTTTTCACACTTAACGTCTGTTGCAGCATCCCCATGGTCACGGGATCAAAATTCAGAGGCTCGGCAACTGGCATGTACCTGTGACTGTTGCACAATCCCGGGGTCATGTGATCACCATTTGCCACCTTCCGAGTTGGTCTCCAACTTTTCCCCAAAGTCAAAGTTTGTTTAACGACCGCATGATTCATTTAACAGCTGCAGTGATTCGCTCAAAAACTACGGCAGAAAGGTCATAAAATGGGATGCCACTCGTTTAATAACCCCCTGGCTTAGGATGTCAAGGTGAAGAGGCATCGTTGCTCACGTGAAAAACACAGCAACATTCGTGAAATCATAAAGTTAAATGGTGCCAGTGTTTCAGAGACCTGAAATCCTTTACGTCAGGGTTTCTCTACCTCAGCAGCTTCAAGATAGGTGGACTTCAACTCCCAGAATTCCCCAGCCAACATGGCATGATAGTTGAGGGGATTATATTTGGTTTCTGCAAACTTCTTGATGGCAAAAAAAAAAAAAAAGCAAATTTGTGGCAGAGAGAAAGACTCTTGAATAGGGAGTGCCCCAGGAAGGAAAACACCGTAGTAAAAATTCCTATTTCAAATAGCTGCTATTTTTTAATGATTTTCACACAAACCTAGTTCCGAGAAACCACAAATATGAGAGTACAGTGCATGAATCCATGTGATCCTTTATTTCTTAAGTATCTCCACGTGGAAAAAAAATTGGCTCGATTACTTATATTTTTTTTATGGGTACCTTCGGAAAACATTATTGCATTTTCCTAACACTGTTCCTTAATTTCCCTTCGTTACCCATAAGGGCTAGGAAGGAAAATGAATTGTGGAAATCTATGCCATCAACCCTTCCAAGACCGAGTGGCTGTGGTTGCCGGCGCCCCGGCATAGTCAGCTGATTCCATCGCTGTCTATAGGGGGCGAAACTTTGGCCCCCTCAGAGAGGGCACGCAACTTGGGTGTCCTCCTGGATCCACGGCTGACACTGGAAGACCATTTGTCGGCCGTGACCAGGGGGGCGTTTTATCAGGT